TGCATGCACAAAATAGAATATAATGTAGAATAGGGAAGGCGGCAAATCATAATAACAGTTGACATTTATGGGGTGCCACCACTACCTTGTGCTGACCTTGGTGCTTTTTACTGCATAAACTCAATCAATCCTTAACAAAAGCCCTTTGAGTGGGGCATTATTAATGTCCCCAACTGCAAGGTGAGACAACAGAGAAAAAGACCAAGTCGCCCAAGATCGCACACCTTGAATGTGGTTGAGCCAGGATTTGAACGGAGCTGGTTTTGATTCTGCAAACTAGGCTCTTAACCACCCTTCTGTTTCTCTAGCTGCTCAGCAGGGGAAGAAACATAGCTTTCTGTTTTGATCTCTGATACACGTAATCCAGGAAAAACTAAACGAAAAATTCTGGCCCGAAATAATTTGCTTTCTCCTTAAGTCAGCAAGTAGACAGAAAACATCCATGTGGCATTTTTGGTTCTAACTCTTCAGATGGTTGTGATCGTCTTCCATTTTGCTTTTCCTACGTAAATACAGACTTAGTGTAAGCTGTATGTATTAGGGCAGTATTAGCTGTTGTAACAAATAAACCCTCTAATTTCAGGGACTTCATAGAAGGTTATTTCTCACTCATGGACCAGTCCAATGTCCTGCCCTGAGGGTGGCTTTATTCCTCAATGAGATTCAGGCACACGAGCTTCTTTTGTCTAGTGACTCCACCATCCTCCGGTGCCTTGGAGGCCTCGGTTTCCTGCTAGGCAATTTTTAAACACCCTGGCCTAGGAAGAAGTGAACATCATTTGGCTCATATTTCATTGGAGAGAACTAGTCCTGTGGCCAGGCTTGGAGGCAAGGGAGGCTGGGAGATATATCCCCAGCTGAGCAGCTGTCTGTCAGCTCCCCTGCGGAAAGACAAGCATGACTATTCGGAGGTTAGCTAGCAGTCTTCTGCCACAGTGAAGAATACATACCTTCTCAGGTGGTTCTTTAGTGTAAGATGTCTAGCGGACAATATACTTATGTTAGAAATGACACAATCTGGGGCGTCTTGGTGACTGTCAGTTAAGCGTCTCTTAGTTTCGTTCTGCTCAGGTCATGATCTCAGGGTCGTGGGATCGAGTCCTGAATTGGGCTCTGTGCTGGGTGTGGAGCCTGCTTAAGATTCTCTGTTGCTCTCCCTCTGCCCCTCCCCCACCACTCACACGCATGTGTGCACGCTCTCTCTCTCTTAAAAGTCACGATCTTAGGTAGTTTTCCAAAACCTCATCTAGAAAAATGGAAAATGACTGTCGACCAAAGCACAGGCATTCATTGATATGAACTAGGATGTCGGGCAGCTTAAAATAGGGGTCGGAGCAAAACCTGAGTCAGAGACTTGGGTTCCAATTCTGACTCGGGCAGTTACTTCCTGGTCATAGGCACCTTAACCTCTTTGAGCTCCCTGTTCTTAACAGCCAAATGGGGCTCATAACATCCACCTTACGGTTTTATGATGGTGATTAGAGGCAATACATATAAAGGTCCTGGCAGACAGTAGATGGTGGATAAAGGATACTGGTATTACTATGTTTTCTGAACAAATATTTCTCAAGAAAGCAAGCATACTTTCTTTTAAATTGCTCTGAAAATAGAAAAGTGTAATAAAGAACAAGTAATGAGCCTTATGTAAATATGAGCTGTAGGGCAGTGTGGATGTCATGTTTCTAACTTCAGATGTTATTACCTCTGTCCCGTAATGAGAATGAAGCCAGAAATCAGAATCTAATCAAGTAAGTAATATGATTAAATGGCTTATAATTGCCTCAATGCCAGTAGGAGTCATGTAAGATAAAGAATAAGTGTAATAAAAACAAGTATGATATTAATAGCCATGATTTATTGAGTGCATATATTGTATCCCTTAATCCTCACACAAGCCCTCACGCATATTATTGTTAGCACCCCTAATACCACCTGCCATTTTGAAGATGAGAGAAGGGGGGCATAGAGAGGGAAAAGAATTGTCCAAGATTAGTAATTGTCAGTTACTAGTGGCAGAATAGGGATTTGAACTCAGGCAGTCTGACGCCAGATCTCAAGCTCTTAATCAAGCAGCCTGGGATCTTGTCGGAGGAAATGCTTTATCTATGTGAAAACACTTGAGCACAATGCACGATAATATTGTGCTGAAGTGTGGCTCCAATTATAAATGCTATAGGAATTCAGTCTGGAGAGGAACTCCCAGTGCTTGAGTACGACTGTGTGCCAGGCATTGTACTGGGTGTTTCCATCCTTCCCATTTAAGGAGTTGTGGCATGGCAAGTGTAGAAGAGAAAGAGCATGAGGTGTGGAACTGCACAGGTAGGGTTTAAACCCTGGCCTTGCTATTTATGACCTGTGCGATTTCAGGCAAATTACTTAATTTTTCTGAGATGGTGTCCTTAATTGAAAATAGGGACTATCACAGCCACCTTACAGCAGAGGGTTTATTATTATCATTTAGTATCAGATACTATCATAAAATAGTATCAGAACAATATCAGAATAGTATCAGAATGCTATTCATTCAACAAATACCGATGAAGTCCCAAGCATTTGGGAACAACCCTGTTAGCCAGAATAAGCAATGTTACGCTGTTGTAATAAACAACCCCCAAATCTCACTGGTTTAACACAACACAAGTGTAAAATCTGCTCACACTACTTTTCTAATGCATGCTAGCTGGGCTTGCTCAGTCATCTTTACAGAGCCCCCACACTGGCTGCGGGAGGCTCTGTTGCTGCACTTCCATGGTTGACCATATAAGATTGCCAAGATTGAACTTTTGGGATTGCCCATTGGCCCTTAGAAGTTTCTCCCTGAAAGCAATGCATACCACTTCTGCTCTCATTCCACTGGCCTAAGTGAGTCCTATAGGGTAGTAGATTCCTACCACATCCCTCAGGAGGGAAAGAACAAGGAAATACTTGGTGAACAGTTTCAATTCCCACTACAGACACAGTCGGTTTACCTGTAAAACAGATCTGCTATGCCCTATCTTAAGGAGCAGAAACGGCGGTGCTGAGAGGTTAAGTCATTTGGCCAAGGTCACACAGCCTGTCCACCGGGGAGCCAGAATCAACCCGCACTTTGCTCACCCCGACTCTTCAATTTACATGCACAATGTCTACAGACTTTATAAACAAAACAAAACAAAACAAAACAAAACAAAACAAAACAAAACAAAACAAAAAAGAATTCACTTTCAGGATGGGGGCAGGGAGGCCCTGCAACTGTGGAGGACAGCATAGGAGTTGAATAGACATGGCCTTTGTCTTTGTATTATGCAATAACCAGTGTGCTCTTGGAGAAGGCAGGAAGGGGCAGAGAGGGATTTATGTCAGCATCCGGAGGAGAGGGGTTAGGACAGATAAGGACAAGAGTGTGGCCGAGGCACAGGTGTGGGGGATATGGTGATGGCAGCATTTTAGGCCATTTCTCTAGCAGCAGGGAGGGGGCTGACGGGCAGGACAACCCATTGCAGGAGTCCAGAATAAGGCGATAAGGGGGAGACCTGAGTGAAGACAGCCGGAATGCAGAAGGGACGGACCTGAGAGCTGCAGAGGAGGGTCGAGAGGGGCGCCCTGGTGAAAAAGTAGAGAACCAGGCACCAGACATTCTTCATACCTCACTCTTCCTATCCCAGTCTACAGCACCATTATAAAAAAAGAAAAAAAAAAAAAATTCCCTAAGGCCTCTTTTTTTCTTGCCTTGAAGCTTCCGAGGAGAAGGTGTGTGTGGCGGTGGTGGTGGTGGTGGAGGAGGAGGGGGCTGCTTCACCGCTGTCGGACGCCCTTCCCGCCTGACCCTCAACTTGTGGGGTACAGGCGCCGTTACCAACTCCAGGACCCGGGCCTTTCAGTTCCAGGAAAACTCCCAAGGCCCAAGGCGGCCAAAGCGGCCTGCGAGTCGCCTCTTGCTCAGAAGGCTCCGGGCCCTGCTGCCTCTGAAGTCCCCGGTTCGCCCACCTCCGAAGGCAGCCGTCGCGGACAGGGTGGGCGCCCCACGTCGTCCACGCCCCCAACTGTTCTCCCTTCCCTGGCGGCCAGAGTCCTGGCTGGTGTCGGAGGTCCGGCAGTCCGGCGGCGGACCCCAGGTTCAGCCTCTGGGCCTCTCTTCCTCCCCGCCTCCGCCTTTCCTCGGCGAGGGCGCGGGGCCGGGGTCGAGGCGCCCCTCTTTGGGTCCTCCGCGGAGCGCAGCCGCCCCAGCCGGAGGAGGGGGCCTCGGAGGCGGGGTGCCAGCCCCGGCTGGGCGGGAGGGGTGCGCACTGCGGCGGAGGGGCCGTGACTCACCGCCTGTAACCCAACACCCGCCTTGCTCCCCTCCCCCAGCCTCTCCTCTGTCTCCGGCCTGGCGGCCGCAGAGACACCTAAAACAAAATGAAGCGGTGCCCGGGCCCGTGGCGCCCCCGGCCGGATCGCGAGCGGGTCCCGGCGGCCTCTGGCTCGGAGCGCTCCCGCTTCTCCAGCCCCGGGGCTCGGCGAGCCGCCGCCGCCGCCGCCGCCGCCGCCGCCGCAGCCGCGCGGGCGCCAGCAGGCGGGGAGGCCGAGCGGCCGGAGCAGGAGACGGCGGCGACGGCGGGCCCGCGGTAGCTGCGGCGGGCGAGCCCGGGGAGGGGGCGCCCCGGCTTGGAAGCCTCGGGTCCCGGTCCCGGCCGAGCGAGGACAAAGCCCCCCGCGGCCGCCACTGCGGCCTACCCCGCGCGGCACAAAGGGCGAGTCGCGACACGCACCCATCCCCCTCCCAGCTCGGGTGGCCCCGGGCCCCGGGTGGCGGCGGGGAGGTGGGGAAGCCCCGGCCACGCCGCCCCTCGCTCCCCTCCCCCGGGGGCCGGCCGCGCTCGGCGCCCCCGCCCCCGCCCCGTCTGCGCGTCCTCCCGGGGAGGGGTCGGGGGGCGCGGCGCCCCACATAACACTCCCCCGCCTGCGCTCGGAGCCACCCCTCTCCCCTCCCTCCTGCAAACACCGCCGCCTCCCCTGCCACCGCCGCCACCTCGCCCGACGCTCCGCAGCTCGCCGCGGCCGGGGGGCGGTGCGCGGACCGTGCGCGCCGGGGGCGCCAGATGTGCAGTCTGCGCCGCCGCCAGTGACCGAGCCTCAGCCCGAGCGGGATCGGGCCGCCTCCCCGATGCTGCGGGGGCGACCTTGAGCGCGCCCCGGCTTCCTCGGCGGGGACCCCGACACCGCGAACGCTGTGCCCAGTCCTGCCCTCTCCAGCCCGGCTCGCCCTGCGTTCCGACATGGAGGGGGCCGCTGCTCCCGCGGCCGGGGACGGCCCCGACTTGCGGCCGGGGGCTCCGGGCTCTCCCCCGGAGGTGGTGGCGGGGGCCACCGCAGCCCCCGCGGCGGCGGCGGCGGCGGCGGCGGCGGCCCCGGAGCCCAGGAAGCCGCACGGGGTGAAGCGGCATCACCACAAGCACAACTTGAAGCACCGCTACGAGCTGCAGGAGACCCTGGGCAAAGGCACCTACGGCAAAGTCAAGAGGGCCACCGAGAGGTTTTCGGGTCGAGTGGTGAGTGGGGGAACCCCCTCCTCCCCCCCCACCCGGGGGCGAGGGCCAGACGGGGCTGCGAACCGAGGGCGCGCCGGCTGGGGGGCTGGGGCTCCGAGACTCTCTTGTCCGAGAGGGGCTTCCCGGGAACCCCCAGACAGACTCCTCACTCTCTCCCCAGCTCCCCGTGACTCAGGCGTGTCTCTCTCTCGAAACACTTGTTACATCCTGTCTGCGCATATTTTGGGGGTTTTTCTCCCAGCAGCAAAGTAGTGTTTATGATTTGCAAACACTTTGCAACGTTGGGACCGTGGAGGTCTCCCTCGCGGGCACGCATTCAGACCAAGCCCTGGAATGCTTTATTGCTCTAACTCCGAACAGACCCACATCCTCAGCGGGGAGCTGGTCCCCGGAGTCCCGTGTCCTGTACGTGAGGGCGACCCCCACCCTCCCACTCCTACTCCCCATCACCCCGGTGCTGCTGTAGCTGCAAGGGAGGGTGGACTCCCGCCTGTTTTTTAAGACAGAGGGTTAGGGAGCAAAAGTAAAGACTACTGCATGCCTGAGGGTTGTGACAGTTCACCTCCCGCTTCGCTTCGGGGAGGACTGAAATGCCCAGGGCATGGGTAGCCACACAGATGCTGAATTGCAGCCCACCCCACTGCCTTTCAGGTCCTGGTTGCAGGGCTGCTGAATTGCTTTAGGGGACTGGGCCAGCTGCCCCACTCTTTGTGACAGCTGAAACCCTGCCAGGGTCCCAGCCCCATTTGGAAGCGGTTGGAGTACCTTGGGGTCTCTCCGTGTCCCCAACTTGGCTTGTTGTCCTTTTCCTTTCTGGGGAACAGGCCCTTGAAATCCACACTGCTTGTGGGCAGAGGGTTGGGTTCAAAGTGACTGACTGTTGCAGAAAGATTTTGTGTGGTGTGTGGCAGAAAATCAACATGGTTCTTTGATTTGAAGCATATCAGATGTATTTTAATCGATTTAGGGCCAAAGTCAGGAACTAATTATGGTATGCCTCGTGTGCACTTTTGGGGTGTTTCGGGGCCCAGGGTTGCTTATAAACTTAACGAATGACCACAGGGTAAAAGCAAAATGAACTGTTGAATGAAGTGGTAGGTAGGTTGATGTTGGTATTTTTCTTTTCAATCTGTACAGGGACCGTTCTGTGGAGAAAATGGGGCCCCAATCAGAAGGTTTAGCCCCGAATTCTCAAATATGTGGATATCCGGATAACTCCCTCATCCTAATAAGCTTCGTTGTTTGGGTTGATCCAACTGTATTCTATAGCTTAAAAAAGAAGTCTGTCGTAGGTTAAATTGGAAATTTGAGACATTGTACATTGTATTTTTAAAGCTGTCTCGGATAAACAAATCTGATAGCCCGCAAGTAGTTAAGAATTCACTCTGGGCAGGTGCCATTTTTTCGTAGGCTGAGCGTTTTAAAGAGGAGATGGTTGTAGACATGTCCTTTGAGGAACAGACTTTCAGGTCTGCGGAAGAGGAGGCTGAGAAATGTGCACTTCATTCATGCTTTTCTTCTGAGGTGATATTCCCCAGGCTGGATGTCGAAAAAGCAAGAACTAAGCCTAGGTCCTTGCTCGTGTTGTCTTAATAGCTGTTGAAGAATCGCGCTGGGAAGTTGGAAAGCGGAATAATGAAAAACAGACGCGGTCGGAGCTGCAGGTTGAGGATGTGAGCTTGAGAGAGGTTGAGTGGCAAGGGTGTGTCTGGGATCTGCCAGGGGACACAGAAGCCTGAATGCTGGGGAGCTGCCGCCAACTGTTTGAAAGAATGAAATCTTGTCTATGGCAGACACCTTTTTGAGCTTCACTGGGGCTTCCTGTCAGGCATTCGTCTCGCTGTCTGATCCACAGACGAGGTTAGAGTGAAAGGGATTGCATCAGTAGACGGGAGCCTGCCTTTCTCTTTTGGTGGGTGTCTTTCCCTTTATTTGCAGAAACTCTGAACATTCCGTCGGGATTTAGTCGAAGGACCACGAGGGGGCGCCCTGAGAACGGGAGAGGCTCATTTCTCCGCCGGGGGACTCCAGTCCTGCGCTGTTATTGTCCAGCCCTGGTCGTTTCCCATTGTGCTATTAATTTCAGCCAAATCTCTTGTTTTACTAAAAAATTATGTAAAGATTTTGAATCTGGTAGCAGATCCAGGCTCAGAAGCTGGCAATCCTCAAACTGCTTTCTATTCCATAGATAAGCTGAGAACCTTAGCAGAATCATCTGGTGAAAGGCTTGCATTAACCAGATGGGAAAACTGAGGTTTGGTGATGGGAAGCCCTCCTTGGCCTTGAGTCCTCCCCCTGCTGAGCACAGTGCTCACAGATGGTGTAAGAACTTAAGTGAGAAACAGGAATTGTCAGGTGGAAAATTCCCTGTGCCTGGCTGAACAGAAAATAAAACAAACACACAAAAAAATTGGTCAGCAAGTCGTTCTCCCCTGTACAACACTTGGTGACTCAGAATCTGTCAAGAGCAGCAAGACATTGTCATCTGAAGTATGAACTTGGGAGTTTTCTTCTGGTTCTAAGGATGCAGTGAATAGCTACAACTTGCTTTCAGGGTGTGGTGGAGGAGAATCGAGAGAGCACTCTCTCAGGTCTGACTTGGCTTTGGGTAGAATTCCAAAGTGACATTTTCATGTCATTTGTCTTTTTCATTGCCATGTCTTGTATGGCACCTCTCAAGAGGAGCAGGGGTTTTAAGCTGCTTTGCCAGCGCTGGTGGCTGGCGTCCCGGGCATGAGATGCTGTGGGATCAGCACTCCCGTTGAAAGCAGCTCAGAGGCAGAGAAGTGTTTAAAAATGAAAACGTTGTGGCTTTTAATTGTACATCTGGAAGGGCCTTCTGAATCAAACAGAGCACCACGCAGCATCATCTTCTGTGTTCTGTGAAAGCCACTTCCGAAGAGAGTTGCAGGATCAGGAGCTTGGAGTGGCCCTCGGCCTGGCCTAGTCCAGGCACACTCCTCTCTGAATTCCCAAATGTGGTTTGTGGCCACTGCCGGAGGGTGTCCATGACACAAGGACTCCAAGTGGCTTCTTCCAGAGATTAACACACCCCACAAGGAAGCACTCTTGCAGAAGGGCTAAGAGCCCTGGCGGACATTCAAATCCCAACTTTTCACTAGCTTCGTGAGCTGGTGCGTGCTCTGTAACTTTTTGAAACCTCAGCTTCCGCATCTGTAAAATGGGCTACCGATAGTACCAGTTTCGTGGACTTGTGTAATAATTAAATAAAATAATAGATGGAAAGCCTCAAGAGGCGAAATTAGCTGGTTTAGTTCCTTCTTTTAGCAGAATTTTTTTTCTCATCTCACGTAGACTTTCCCTTAGATTTTTAAGACCATCAGAGAGACATGGTGCATTGGAAAATCAGCATGCTATCACTCAGAGAATGGTAGGGGAAAGAACCCACTTTTTAGGTTAATTAGGGAATGTGAGGTTCGCAGAAAAGTGCACCCATAAGAAGCCAAGACCATCAGCCAGATTCTGATAGGATCTGAATGCATTTCTAAAGCCTTGAATTTGGGCTTTGTTTCTTGCACAACTTTTGTTTTGATACAGTTTTGGGCAGGGCCGTTGTTGAGTGGAGCCCCTGTGGCATAACACGGCATGCATTTTCTTTGAGCCAAACTGCCCGGACCTTCAGGCTGTGCAAACTATTGCCATAAAACCCAAACCCAAAAACAAACAACATTTTGAGGAGCGGTGTCATGTGATCACCTCCCCGCCAAGGGCCAAGTTCAGCTTTCCCTCTGCACCAGGTATCTCTTGTGAGCAGTATGCTGTGTGGTATGAACAGAACAGGAGGCGAGGTCTCTGGGAGGGGTCTGACATGGGAGGTGCAGGACCAGTGGGCAGAGTGTGCCCCCAGTTTGCCATTGGTGTGCCTGGGGGTACCAGAGCTCTAGCTTGGGTGATGGGGCGTCCTCACTCCGCAAATGAACTGATTTGACCAAAAATGGGTGTTTTAAGCACTGGCCCAAAGTTACTCCTTGCCTGGTGCTGGAAGACTGCAGATGAGGGGTGCTATCATATTGTAAGCTGGCCTGCTGAGCCAGATGGCTGTCATCTGCAGGGGCTCAGGTGCCATGTTGCACTGAAGACCCAAACCCAGTTTCAGGGAGTAAGACGCGTTGGCCAACACATGGTGCAGACTTCTCATTCCGGAGATGGGAAAAATAAAGCATAGAAGCGTTAAGGGACTTCTCCGGGGTTGCCTGAAATGCCCCATATTTCAGTCTTCTGAAACCCAAATCAAGGATCATCTTCAACATCATCTGCCCTCCCTAATCCTCCAGAATGACCCAGTGACTGAGCTGGGTCTAAGCAACCTGATTCTCGGTTTGGTATTTTTTGCATCACTCATTTAATCTTTACTAGTGCAAGACGTGATGCTAGCTCTTAAGGAGCTTGTAGTCTAGTAGCCAAGATAAAATGTACTTACAGATATTGAACTAATTCTGTGTGGCTGCAAGATTTATTACCATCTCCTGTATGCTGCTCTTCACGTTAAAATGCTGGGACACAGGAGTGACCGAGGCCCACGGAACTACCCATCTGGTGGAAGACGCAGTAAGCAGTTACCTGGTCTGAGTGCCTGGTACAGGACTGGATTATATCAGGTGATTTTCCAGTTGGAATGTAGCTTACTAAAGCTTAGTTTGTTCGATCGCATTCGATTCTGGACAGGGACACGCCCTCCTTGTATGGCCACAGCTACTGTGATTACTACCAGCTGACACTTTTGAAAGCTTGGTGTGTGTTCCGCTGTGCTAACTGCTTTCCAGACATCTCTCATTTAACACTCACAACAACCCCGAGAGGTGTGCACTTGAGTTAAACCCATTGAACAGATGGGCAAAATGATGCATAGGGTCGTTAAGTAACTTGCCCAGGCTCATACAGCTGGAGGGTCAAGTGGTCTATTTCGAAACCCACTGCTGCTAGAGAAATGGAGAACCTTCCTTATGCTGCACAACCGGTGACCTCTGGATTTGGGCGTG